TGTCCCCAAGTCAGCTGCTGCTGAAACTGATCAGGGGCTGATTCCAGGAAGCTGGGGCAGAGCAGCTCTGCCTCCGGCTTCCTGGAGTCAGCCGCTGGTCAGTATCAGCAGCGGCTGAATCGGGGACAGCTGGGGTGCTGCCGGGTTGGTCCCACAGCTCCGAGGGGCAGTTCTCTCAGCCCCAAGGGGCAGCACTCCAGCTGCTCTGCCCCTGGCTTCCCTGATTCAGACGCTGCTCAGTTTTAGCATCCTGGGTCCCCTCTGCCTGGCTCACAGGTTGCTGGCCAGTGCCAGGCATGGGACAAGGCCCCCCACATCCTGACCACCCACCACTCCATCCTCTGTCATGTTCTGAGCCCAGAACCGCCCTGGTGGAATCTGCAGCCCAGCAACTGGCAGCTCAGCAGGGTTTGGAGGGGAGGGGGGCAGAAGCTGTGTGACTTCTTCCCGCCACCCTCTGGAGGGGCAGGAGCTATGAGGCCTCCCCCTCTCCAGTGCTCCAAGGGAGTGGGAGCTGCACCCCCTCCCCACACCCATAGTACAGGGTGAGAGCTGGGGGAGTAGGGAGGAGGGGCGAAAGCCGTGGCTGGGGCCGAGGTAGTGCAGGGGGAAAGGCTGGGGCCTCTCCAGTTGATGAGTGAGGCCCTCCCCAGCAGCAGGTGTTTGTGTGTGTGGAAAAGAGCTGGGGCAGGCTGGGGAGTGGGAGGAGGGGCGAGAAAGAGACAGCGCCAGGTAAATGTTTATGTCACAGACATTTGTAGACAATTTAAAAAAAATAAACAATGCTTTTGTTTTAAGAAAGCTGTCTGAATACTATATACACCACTGATCCACAGACTGAGGCCCTCCCCAGCAGCAGGTGTTTGTGTGTGTGGAAAAGAGCTGGGGCAGGCTGGGGAGTGGGAGGAGGGGCGAGAAAGAGACAGCGCCAGGTAAATGTTTATGTCACAGACATTTGTAGACAATTTAAAAAAAATAAACAATGCTTTTGTTTTAAGAAAGCTGTCTGAATACTATATACACCACTGATCCACAGACTCCAAAACAGAAGAACTACAGGCAAATGAGCTCAATAGCTGCTGGATAATAATGGTGGATATTCCAGACACTGTAGATCAGGAACCAATATAAGGGGGAGAATTGCAGAAATCAGCCCAGAAAAGGCAGAAGAGCAAGTCATGAAGAGACCGGAAAGGGGAAAGAGATGCAGCTAGCTCTGCAACCATGATATAAGCATGTATTTTTCCTGTCATATCATAGACAAAAAATTCTGCTTATATTGGGCATAATAAAAAAAACACAGTGTAATGTTATTAATGAAAATCAGGTCCATTCATGTGACTGTAATTTCATTTGTGTTACATACACAGCACACCCACTGCTAATTTTTTTTGTTTTAACCTGTTGGTAAACATCTGGTTATGAATCTATAGAACTTGTTTTGTCATCTTGAATGCCTGAAATACCCAAAAAAACCCTTCTATTTTATTAGAACATTTGGTTTAACCCAAACAAGCAGTGAATTTGTTCAAAAGGCTCCATTATAAAGGCCACAATAAAGCCAGCATGAGTAATACTGTCTTTAAAAGCTAATTTGCAAAACAACCCAATTTGGGGTTTTGTATTGTGTATTAATTTTTATTAGCATGTGGGACTGAGCTACAGGGTCTAGATCTCAAACCCAAGTACGACAAATCAAAATTATGCAGGACAGATCAGACCATAATAGTTCCTTTTGGCCTTTGAATCCATTAACATTTGATCATGCTTAGATATGGAATTTTGATTCATCCCATGATTCAGTTATGAGCTTCATGTGTGGGATAGTGGTTGAATTGTATAAAAATCCTTCTCAATTTCACTGCACAGGATGAATCTGTAATTTTAATAATAATCTATATTGTTCTAATATTGCAGAGTTTGCACTTTTGGGGTTTATTCTAAATTAATACTCCCTAAAATATTTTCTATGAAATACCCTGATAGAAAAATTGTTTAATTCAAATAATTTCCATGGAAATTTTCAACAAAATAACTCAAAACTTAGAAATTTTAATTTTCAGTTTTTTCCTCCCTCCTCTTTCTTTTCCTTACTATTTTTCAGAGAAAAATAG